GTCTTTCTTGTAGTTCATATCTGCATGGTGACCCAAGGACATTTGTGAAGGTGGCGTAGTGGTTAATGTGTCGAGATTATACGCCTCACCGTCATTGTTCGAGTCGCACTGGCGTTGTTGAAAAGACCTAGGCGAGATCGAAACCACAGTCCATTCTGGATCAAAACATCTTCTGGGTAAGTATGGTTATTTTAAATTTAATATAAAAGTAGCTTATACTCATATCATTATGGGAAAATTCACCTGCTAATCCTTCATAACCTTAAACGAAATAGGGTGTCATACCTCATATAAATAAGGTTTATCTCCTCAACAATTTTATATCTAGATTTATTTATCCATCCTCTTTCTTCATATCTCGTTTCCTTTCTGCAACAACTTTTAACTTGCTTTTGCTAGACTCCTGCGGGTTTTATCTTAAATGCTCTTACATGCTGCAATGGCTTAACTGCAAACAACCTCTTTTTACTCGTATCCAAACCTTTCTGTGTCATCGTAAAACCGCTTCTTATCCTACTTGGTGATTACTTTTACCTTGCTCCAGCAGCCATTTCCTTTTTACTTCGTACACATTATTTCCCATCTTCTGCCTTAAGTATTGCATAGTGAAGATACTGAACTTAATTGAGCTGTATCCCTAAGCCATGAATCACAGCGCGTATGGGCTAGCTTAAAGCTGGCTCAGTCCAGAAATTGTACTGTTCTGGTAGATCTCATACATGAGTTGTATATTAAGGTAAAGAAGGACTAATATTTTATTTTTCCCACAATGATATGAGTAGAGCTGACGTTTCCATTAAATTTCGCATATCCTTTCTCTCCCAAAAGGTGTTCTCATTCAGGGTGGACTGCAGTTTCGACCTCGCCTAGGTCTTATCAACACCCCCAGCGGAAGTCGAACCGTGACAGTGCAGCGTGCAAGCTCAACACGTTAACCACTACGCCACATTTTGCGAGTGCCCTTGGGTCACAGAGCAGATGTGAATTTCAAGGAATGTCAGGCATTTTCCATATCAAATCTCTGGTAGTCTCGTAAATCTACTTATTTACGGAAATAGATCTCATGGCAAGCATTTTGTTTATGCACCACTCCCATGCATCAATTCCTGCATTCTAAACTAAATGGGAACTTAAGTTTATGGCCGTCGCTGTACATTTCGGGTGGATTTGACGTCGGACTGTGTTAGTTTACCTTGGCACTGTAATCCAAGCCCAAAAATGCTGTGGCTATTCCCTCGAAGTGACTAGACTCAGCGCAATAGCCTTCTTTTGATTTCCAACTGTTTATCGCAGATCTCTTCTTTCGATTTATTTTACTCCAATTCATTGTGATTTCTTGATGAAGGAGCCTTCTTGCTATTTCATGATTTATTATGAGTTTGCATAAACAGGCAGAACTCCTTATCCAATTTCATGCTAAATTTAATTATTTCACTAACTCCTTTCATTTTCGCAGGAAATTGTTTGATTCTGTATTCATCGAGATTCCAAGCAGCAACTTAGCTGTTCACCTTCCTAATTAAAACTTGGAGACTAAAAATGCTTTTAGAATTAAACAAACCTCTAATTGAAATATTTAGTTCTTAGCAAATTTCAGAACTAAACATGATCCCATAGCTAAATCTTGTATTGACTCATATTACTTACCATCGAAGTTAAAATATGAAGATACGAAGAGTAACTTGGTTTCGATGAATCTCCTGAGATAACATTATCGAGGAGACCTTCGTTTCGTATAAAAGTGCATGTATAAGAGATTCATAGGTTGATTTTACCAGAGACGACGGCTGAATCCTGTTGTATCGCAACCGTTTGGCTTTACTATGACGTTCGGGTTGACGCAGTTCACGAAACATTCTTCTTCGTTTAGGGTGAAAACGTGTTGAGCTTTCTTCTATCATATGATGGAGATCATCAGAGCTGGAACTCATTTTTTTTAAAGTCTCACGTTAACACTATGTCAAGAAGACTAGCCGCTTCTATCTTACCCCTTTATCGACTCAATTCAGCAGAAGAATAATAAAAGGCCTAGATAAATATAGAATGGTTAGGCCAATTATATTTCGTATTGGTCCTGCTACTTTTGTTCGAGTGTCTGTATGTGCGTGGGTGTGTGTTGACGTCTATACGCAATACCGGTCCTAAATCAGATACATCAAAAAGGCTAATGTCAGGCTCTTTTCATTAAGTTTTAATGACTCAAGCAAAAGCCTGATTGAGACTGCATAAGTCCGTCAGCATGTATTGTTGAGAGAATGAGATGTAAACTTGTAAACATGTGAGTCTAGTTACGAAATCGCTTATCATAACCTCTTAGTCTAAGGTCATTAACGTTGAGTCGCGTTCTTTTGGATGGCGGCTCAACTCCCTCATTCAATCTATCAATCAAGCATAACAATTTCCTACTCAACTTTCTACTACGGATTCTCAGATTCAACGTATTTCCTAATCTATTACTTTTAATAGCCTCTTATCATCCTTTTAACAGCAGATGTACCATAATCAGCAAGCCTACTAATTTGAGACCATTCTATGCCTGTTTATAGTGTTTATTGGGCTGGTACTAAGCCTTCAAAATTCTGTCGCCTCTAACATAATTCCCTAAATGACTAATTGGCCAATGTTAAGTCTTTGTCTCCAAAACTGAATTTTTGCATCGTTTAAATTTATATCAGTTACCTCCATTAACGTTAAACGTAGTTAATAGAAATGTCATGTCTTGCTGTCAAACAAGATTTTGTCAGACAAACAGGTGAATAAGGTAATGGGAAGATGGCGAAGATGTTCGAAACTATCCCCAAATATTAAATAAGTGTTCTAATCACCCTAGGTGATAAGAAACTGCTCGTTGAATTATTTCTCAATCGTACGAGTAGGCCTCATGTGTCCATTGAATCTCACCTAGCCCTATTTCCCAAAAGGAGTTCTTGTCCTAATTGGAGTGCAATTTCTTCCTCAACTAGATATCATCAGCATCCATATCAAAAATCGAACCCTGATAGTGCCGAAAGTGATCTCCACATGTTGCCAATACGTGGTAATGGGCGAAGTTTAGCAATAAGTATACTCTGCCCTACCCAACTTCGACCTCCGCTGAGGGTGCGGATTGGACCTAGATGAAGACGAAACTGCAGTCCAGCCTCCATGCTTATTCGTTTTGAGAGGCAAGGCCATGTGTGATTCAATGGGAATGTAAGACCTACACAATTCATCTAGGGAAAACGAATTAGCTTACTTTTTTTTTAAAGTGTGGTCTGTACTATCTTGAAAGGATATGCAAATATTTATATTATTCTTTTGGAACAGAGAAGAAAAAGCAATTGTAAAGGGCGAGCGATCTCATTCTCATGGCAGTTTATTTCACGCTTTTATATGCATCTGACAATGTCTATACACTAAAACATGTAAATTCTTCCGAAGTCTGCCAGGCCAGAAGAGACTGGCTCTCAAAGAATAACTCTTTTAGTCGAGATTCTATCTTTTTTCGTGTCCTGACCAGGCAGAACTCTAACTAACTTTCGATGTATTATATTAAAAGAAGGTGGGTCTCGGGAATTTATTAGGACTGTCCGTAGCATACATGATTACACTATTCCACCTCCGAGTAATGGATAACCGAAGGTGGCTGTTCTGATGAGTTTTGGTATCAAAGATGGCATCGTGGCATGATTGTGCAATTAGGCCAGTATTTTGCGTCAAAATTATCTCCAGCAAAACAGTTGAAAGAGTTACATCGGCCAAGGAGGGTCAGGAGCAAAACGTAGTACCAACCCTATTTAGTTTAATGTGAGAAGGACTGGTAATAGAATTTTTCCACAATGATATGAGTAGAGCTGACGTTTCCATTGAATTTCACATCGCCTTGTTTTCCCAAAAGTTTTTCTCATCCAGGCTGAGGTGGACTGCAGTTTCGACCTCACATTGGTCTTATCGACACCACCAGCGGGAGTCGAACCGTGACAGTGCAGAATGTGAGCTTGACACGTTAAACACTCGACCACATTGCCACAAGTGTCCTTGGATCACAGGGCTGATGTGAATTTCAA